AAATACTGTTATTCATCTTTTTTCTGTTGCCACATTTGTCATTTAATATTGTGCAGTTTCTCTTCTCTGTTCTTTAGTCCATGCTAAGGAGTTGATTAGCTCAGTTCATGCATTGGTAATTTCTTAGTTTCTATGAGAATGAGTTCCTTAGTTCTTGTTTTTTAGCAACTATAAGTTGAAGGACTCTTTGATTTTGTTTTGTTTTGTTTTGTTTTGTTACCGAGGATCAAAGTTGGGTCCTTGCGCTTACAAGGCAGGCCGCAGAACCACTGAGCTAAATCTCTGGCCCAAGGACTCTTTGATTTTGATATCCTAGTTATTTTATGAAGTTTGTTTGACTTCTTCCATCCTTTCAACATCAACAGAGTCCACAACAAACACAATTCTATCTGTACATCTGGTATATGACTTCAACAGTGGCATTAATTTCTGCTGACTACCTGCATCCCAGAAGTGGCTGTGAAAAGTGGCTGTTTTTAGAATTTCCCAAGGTTACTTAAATTTTCTCAGTGATATTTACAAATTCATTGAATTGCAGCCTGTCTAAGATTGTTGTTGTTCCAGCATAATCCAAACCCAGAATAATGATGTGCAGAAATGAACTGAAGGGAAGCTGGAGGGTATTGATGTCTGGTCTGATAATCTATTCCCCATTTTAAGCTGAAGATAAGTGTCCCAAATTGAGATACTTTCTTTTCCCTTCTTTAGAATTTCTCTTCCTAGCTGATGTAGCTACAAGACTGTTCCCTAATTGGAGTACAGGTCCAAATTAGAAAACATTGGCAGACATTTCTACATGCGGAGAGGCAGGAAGCACCCCATGGCCATTCAGCTTAGATCTCCCCAGAAGTTCTTTACCAAACTTTTTAGTACTTTACTTTATATAATCTGTATACTGGTGTTTAACCAAAAGCTCAAGAGGATTGCTGTGCCAGTTTCTGAAGTTCCTTCTTAACAGTGTACTTTCTTTTCTGCTATTCTGTCTCAAAAATTCCAGCTCCCCTTTCCAAACTAACAGCCAGGCTTTCTTTGGGTTGCCAGTTCCTACACTGATGTTCAGAATTGCTGCCAGCCACAATTGTGTGATCATCAGGCTTACCTTGTTTGTGTCCCCTTTTTCCAGGTTTGCAGAGGTTATGTTCAGCATGAAAATTGGTGTGAGTTACCCCATTTACCAATCAGGAGTCTTTTTTTTTTTTCTTAAATTCTTTTATTGGTACATTTTAGGTATACGATATGTTTACATTTTTTTTTTTTACTGACTAAAAAACATTCTGAATTATTTAATACTTACATTTGTATTGATATACATTATATACATGTTTTGTTCTACTATAACATTATGTATC